TTGTATTCATGTATCCTAATGCTGTGTACTGTGGTTAATTCTAGTTACTCTACTCAGGGATACATATTTTGATATATACATCATCAGTTGTGGGCCCTTCTCAAAATGAACACATCTAAATAAAATATATAAGCAGATACTTCTACTTCCAGATCTGCACCTAATCACAACCGTAAGTATTTTATATATGTCTTTACTTTTGCTCATGTAGATTTCTTAACAAGTAATTTCTCTTCTGCTTGGGTAAAAGTAAGCTAACCTGTACTGGATCTACTCTTTACTACATCTAAGCTGTAACTTTAGTTGTGCACGGCTTCATCTCCACTCATAGATATTTTATTTTTGCCATTTCAATTAAAAGGGCAGTGTAATCAAACCTGGAGCAGCAAGAGTACTTTGCTTGTTAATCTATGTAATAATGATCTACTGGTACACATGATAATATGTAAAGAATATTGACATACACCCCAACTTTAAGCACTGCGTATGCCGAACAGTTATTAGACTTCTTATTATTCATAAAGCATAATAAAAAAAGCATTGTTAACTCGTGTTCACCAGGTAGGGGCTGTTGTGTGTAAAAACCTCTGACTTTCCCACGGTGTTTGGCAGACACTGTTAGCGCCATTAGGAGTTTAGGATGACCGTTTAATCCACTCAACAGAATACTCTCTCGAGTTGTATCCTAGCTTGTGAGAGATGAGTCGAGCTGAAGCTGTCTGGGTTTCTCAGTAAACGATCGGTTAGTATTTACATGTCCCTCTTGTCCCCTGGCGGTCAGGCTGCTGTTGTTTTGTGTCTCATTTCCTTCACAATAACGAGGCTAAGGATTGGCGCGCTGTGACTCCACATGTCGGACTGGATGCTAAATATTACACCCAGACCCCTTTCTCATCATTTGTGTTACTTAAATAGATCCCTTCTCTGTTGTTTATGATTGTTTTTTAAGATGTAAACTGTTTATTGTTGATGTATTTGCACTATTCAATGTTATTGACCAACAATAAGTGCCTTAAATGTGGAAAATTGTAAATGGTTAATACAAAATAAAAACTTGTTAGCTAATGTGTGTTAAGTTAGCGCTCTATCATGCACGGGAAGAATACATACACACACACACACACACACACACACATACAGGGGCGTCTGATGTCCGTTGTTAACCGTTTAGCGGCAAAACACAAAACAACGTTTCCAACAGCTAGCCACTTCCTGCTAACGTTAGCTGCCCTCATGTTAATCTCCACATTAAGGAGCTGAGGAAGCGATGCAACACACCCCGCATGAGGGTCAGCCAGTATCCGAAATGTGAGTCGGTCGGTAAATCTGAGAGAATCTTTAAAAAGTTTACCTTGATATTGTGCCCGCGTCTCTTCTGTCTCTGAATTTCAATTTCATGAAGCCGGTTTCTCCAGAGGGGGCGGGGCTTGCGCGGCGGCCGCTCCACTGATTGGTCTAAACGTCCACTGCGTCATAGTTCTTCGTTATATTAAGGGTGGATCCTACACGTTAACGTTGCATTACCGCCCCCTGCTGATGCTACTGTGGACATAGCAGTCTTATTTAACTTTCCTCTAAAATATAGAAGAATCAGAGCTGAAAAAAAACCATTATTATATTATATATTTCCTGAAAATATATTATATAGAAAACTAGTGGCTCCTGAATGTTGTGAAGTGTACACGATAAATTAGTGGATATAAATGCTACCTGGTTGAATGATTGAAATTGATTGAAAAGTTTATTAACAGCTTGTATATTGGGTACAGTACAGTACAGCTCAAAACATACAATTGTTAAGGGGATGCAGACCAGAGAAAGACTTTCGTCTTGTTTACATCAGGGTCCCCCATTTCCAATTCATCATATCATTTATTTTGGTAGAGGTAATACTTCTCAAGATTAAAATATTTAAAGGCAAGTTTATTTATACAGCACCTTTCAACACAAGGCAATTCAAGGTGCTTCACAAAAATGAAAGACATTAAGAGCATTAAATTAAGAAACATATTATAAAACGAATTCTAAAAACACTAATTTAAAAGCAAAGGAACATGAACATAAAAGTCACAGTGCAGTGTGAGATATACACACATCTGAAATGTTTAGCTCTGACTCTCAATCATTGCTCACTTTTTAGCAGAAATAGTTTTCTTTGACCTCCCTTTCTTTCTACTTTCTTTGTTAACTTGTCCTTTAGTTATTTCAAGTGTTTCATGCTAAACGATCCCCCCTTTGGAAAATTATAATCTGACCCCATGGTTCCTTTTAGTTTTCGCCGAAACTATTCCTCTTTTTTATTTTTAAATGCACATTAGTTAAATTGACCTTGTCTTTCTAGGACTTTTTTGGTATCCTCCGTGAACCAGGGTCTTGAAACCAAAACGGATTCCTGTACCCCATGGTACCTTTTTAGTTTTCGCCCAAACTATTCCTCTTTTTTTAAATGCACATTAGTTTAAGTTGTAAAGGCTGTAATGTCTTATGCACAGCTACAGTGTAGAAATGGCAATGACAATCTTAAATCCCTAGCTCCTCCAACAATGCAACATATATACATAAGACATCAAACAATAAAACAAATTAAAATCAGTGGAAACATTTACATCCATCCATCAGTTGAAAATGCTCGCCTTCATCAACTGTCTACACATTCTGTTGGTTATAACAGAAGTATTTTCCCTGTTTCTCTTTCAGGTCTGAGAGGGTTAACTGTTGAGTCCATCTCAACAAGAGTCCGCAGGCAGCCCATAATCTGTTCTCCCTGTAATCAGAGCACTGGGTTCCCTTGGAAATACTCTCAAAGTCTTTCACGACAAAGTCAGAAAAAGGCCACAAAGAAGATGATGAAATGTTTTTTTCTTTGCGTTTATCACCCCGGGTTGATTAATGTCCAATCAAATGTTTCCTTTGATTTCTAACATTTTTAAAATAAGCTTTACTTGGTGTCAGTGAAATGGTGGTAATAAGGTTTAGGAGCATGAAGTCTTTATGAGATGTGATCAGATATTGTGTTGTGATGACTTTAAAATGAAATGCATGTGTAGCTGCAGAGAGTGGACTCACTGACGGGGGTCTGTGTGCAGAGGAAGAACTGACCCTGGGTCAGCAGAGGCTCTGCAGTGGACATGCTTCAGATGTCCTGCTGATGTGGAGACGCCTCGTAAAGGAAAGAGTTTTCATGGCTTCTCTGTTCTCCTTCATAAGGCAACTCGCTGCAGGCTGCTCTCTCTTTAGGAGGACGCCATGTTGCACAGCAAAGATCTGTATATAAATATATGAAAATACTGTACACTCATACAGGATGGAAGAAGACATTGTAAAGGCAGGCAGTGGCTCAGTCTGAAGGAACTGCGTCTGTGAACCGAAGGGTCCCGACCAGCTCACCTCCTGGTCACTGCCGAGGTGCCCTTGAGCAAGGCACCGAAGCCACCGGCACTCCCTGGTAGCTGTACAATACATGCCCACTGCTCCTAGTTCTAGGGTGGGTTAAATGCAGATGTCACATTTTGTTGTGGGTGCTGTGACAAAATAAAGATTTGTATTATTATTACAAATCTGTAAGAGAATAACAGAGATTGTGCCTCACTCATTAAAATAAAGTATAAATGTTAAACATTCATATAGGATAAAATAATATCAGTCAAATATAAAAAGAATACTTACTGAGAAAAATTCACTAACCTAAATTTAATAATGTAATAAAAAGTATTTTCAAGAAAAATACATTTACAGGAAACTGGGAAAGAAAATTCAGTAAAATAATACTTTAAAAAGCAAGAAACCAAAATATTAAGAAGAAATATAATAAAATATGGTTAAAAAATGTGTAATTAGTAGAGACACTACATACTGATATACACCTGAACATCAGCAGGAGAGGACTCTTTAAAGTAGAGACACTACATACTGATATACACCTGAACATCAGCAGGAGAGGACTCTTTAAAGTAGAGACACTACATACTGATATACACCTGAACATCAGCAGGAGAGGACTCTTTAAAGTAGAGACACTACATACTGATATACACCTGAACATCAGCAGGAGAGGACTCTTTAAAGTAGAGACACTACATACTGATATACACCTGAACATCAGCAGGAGAGGACTCTTTAAAGTAGAGACACTACATACTGATATACACCTGAACATCAGCAGGAGAGGACTCTTTAAAGTAGAGACACTACATACTGATATACACCTGAACATCAGCAGGAGAGGACTCTTTAAAGTAGAGACACTACATACTGATATACACCTGAACATCAGCAGGAGAGGACTCTTTAAAGTAGAGACACTACATACTGATATACACCTGAACATCAGCAGGAGAGGACTCTTTAAAGTAGAGACACTACATACTGATATACACCTGAACATCAGCAGGAGAGGACTCTTTAAAGTAGAGACACCACATACTGATATACACCTGAACATCAGCAGGATATGTCTTCTTGAAGGATTTTAGGATAATTCTGTGCTGATCCTCTCCACTCCAGAAGGTGGCGACAAATGCACATAAGAGCTGTTAACCAACCTCCATTAAAACAGCAGAGGAAGAAGCGCCGGAGGAGCTGGGGAACAGGAAGTGTTGTGCCAGCTGGACTTTTTATTTCTAATGAAACTTCAAACAGCAACAGTGTGTTTCCGTCCTGAAAACACCACCACAGCACGGTGAGTGCCATTAAGAACATATTCAATGTACACACTCACTGCCTGTTCTACCGTACATCAACTCAATACTGTACTTTACTTGAGTATTCCAATGTTATGCTACTGTGTACTTTTCCTCCACTACATGTATTTAATACATTTAGTAACTTCACAGATCTGGATGAATGATGTGAAATATAACCAAGTGTTAAATCAGACTTTAGTTCCACCTGGAGTAAATCCACAAGCTACCCTGCAGTATACAAAGTCATTCAAACTAGCTGCACCTTCACCAGCTTTGAGAACACTTTAATGATCAATCATTATAAAACATATCATATATATTATTCTGAAATGGACCAATCTGCACAATGACTACTTTTACTGTCGCTACTTTCACTATATTTTGATGAGAATACTTTTCTACTTTTACTTGAGGAACATTTTGAATGCAGGACTTTTACTGAAACAGAGTATTCCTACACTCTGGTACTTCTACTTTTACTCAAGTACAAGCTCTGAGTACTTCTACTTTTACTCAAGTACAAGATCTGAGTACTTCTACTGTTACTAAAGTACAAGATCTGAGTACTTCTACTTTTACTCAAGTACAAGATCTGAGTACTTCTATTGTTACTCAAGTACAAGATCTGAGTACTTCTACTGTTACTAAAGTACAAGATCTGAGTACTTCTACTTTTACTAAAGTACAAGATCTGAGTACTTTTACTCAAGTACATGATCTGAGTACTTCTACTTTTACTCAAGTACAAGATCTGAGTACTTCTACTTTTACTAAAGTACAAGATCAGAGTACTTCTACTTTTACTCAAGTACAAGATCTGAGTACTTCTACTGTTACTAAAGTACAAGATCTGAGTACTTCTACTTTTACTAAAGTACAATATCTGAGTACTTCTACTTTTACTCAAGTACAAGATCTGAGTACTTCTACTTTTACTAAGTACAATATCTGAGTACTTCTACTTTTACTCAAGTACAAGATCTGGGTACTTCTACTGTTACTAAAGTACAAGATCTGAGTACTTTTACTCAAGTACAAGATCTGAGTACTTCTACTTTTACTCAAGTACAAGATCTGAGTACTTTTACTAAAGTACAAGATCTGAGTACTTCTACTTTTACTAAAATACAAGATCTGAGTACTTTTACTCAAGTACAAGATCTGAGTACTTCTACTTTTACTCAAGTACAAGATCTGAGTACTTCTACTTTTACTAAAGTACAAGATCTGAGTACTTCTACTTTTACTAAAGTACAAGATCTGAGTACTTCTACTTTGACTAAAGTACAAGATCTGAGTACTTCTACTTTTACTAAAGTACAAGATCTGAGTACTTTTACTAAAGTACAAGATCTGAGTACTTCTACTTTTACTAAAGTACAAGATCTGAGTACTTTTACTAAAGTACAAGATCTGAGTACTTCTAATACACAATTGCAGCATTTCAAGTTGTAATAACAATACAATAAACAATAACATCTCAACAAACTCAAGTAAACAACTGTAATCAGATTACTCCTGATGTTACTGATGAAGCTCTGAGTACTTCTACTTTTACTCAAGTACAAGATCTGAGTACTTCTACTGTTACTAAAGTACAAGATCTGAGTACTTCTACTTTTACTCAAGTACAAGATCTGAGTACTTCTATTGTTACTCAAGTACAAGATCTGAGTACTTCTACTGTTACTAAAGTACAAGATCTGAGTACTTCTACTTTTACTAAAGTACAAGATCTGAGTACTTTTACTCAAGTACATGATCTGAGTACTTCTACTTTTACTCAAGTACAAGATCTGAGTACTTCTACTTTTACTAAAGTACAAGATCAGAGTACTTCTACTTTTACTCAAGTACAAGATCTGAGTACTTCTACTGTTACTAAAGTACAAGATCTGAGTACTTCTACTTTTACTAAAGTACAATATCTGAGTACTTCTACTTTTACTCAAGTACAAGATCTGAGTACTTCTACTTTTACTAAAGTACAATATCTGAGTACTTCTACTTTTACTCAAGTACAAGATCTGGGTACTTCTACTGTTACTAAAGTACAAGATCTGAGTACTTTTACTCAAGTACAAGATCTGAGTACTTCTACTTTTACTCAAGTACAAGATCTGAGTACTTTTACTAAAGTACAAGATCTGAGTACTTCTACTTTTACTAAAATACAAGATCTGAGTACTTTTACTCAAGTACAAGATCTGAGTACTTCTACTTTTACTCAAGTACAAGATCTGAGTACTTCTACTTTTACTAAAGTACAAGATCTGAGTACTTCTACTTTTACTAAAGTACAAGATCTGAGTACTTCTACTTTGACTAAAGTACAAGATCTGAGTACTTCTACTTTTACTAAAGTACAAGATCTGAGTACTTTTACTAAAGTACAAGATCTGAGTACTTCTACTTTTACTAAAGTACAAGATCTGAGTACTTTTACTAAAGTACAAGATCTGAGTACTTCTAATACACAATTGCAGCATTTCAAGTTGTAATAACAATACAATAAACAATAACATCTCAACAAACTCAAGTAAACAACTGTAATCAGATTACTCCTGATGTTACTGATGTTACTGCATGCATGTAACCAGTCAGTGTGCATCTGTATATACACCTTCCTTATAATAATAATAATAATAATAATAATAAATGTTATTTATATAGCTCTTTTCCTGGTGCTCAAAGCGTCTTAAGAAATCACTTTTAGTTTTTTCATCAGCTGATATTCAAATATAAAATGAGGTTATTTTTCAACCTTATTGTCTGAAAGGAGAACGTGGAGAGAGGAACACTGGAACACGTTTAGCAACTTCTCAGGAGTGTGTGTGTGTGTGTGTGTGTGCGTGTGCGTGCGTGTGTGTGTGTGGTCTAGCATTACTATACTTGTGGGGACCTAAATCTGTTTACACAGTCACGTGTGGGGACTCACCTCCTTTATGGGGACATAATGGAGGTCCCCATGAGGGGAATCATTCATTTTAGGGTGAAGAATAGGTTAGGGTAAGGTTAAGGGTAAGGGTAAGGGTTAGGCATGTGTTGGTTAAGGTAGGGTTAGGATAAGTCTCCAGGAAATGCATGTAAGTCAATGTAATGTCCCCTGAAGTGATGTATACATGGTATGTGTGTGTGTGCTCTTTTATGACAGTATAAGCTGTTATATGATAGTTGGCAGCACCGTGATTATACACACACACACACACACACACACACACACACACACACACACACACACACACACATTCAGCTCCTTATGGCCTTAGTTTCTATGCAGGAAGTCGAGCACACACAACGTGTGTGTGTGTGTGTGTGTGTACACCAGGATATCCTCCTCCTTTGTTTCCTCACCTGGGTTGGTTTGTGTTTATCTTCTCTCTCGCTCTCTCTCTCTCTCGTCACTGCAGGTGAGTGTCAGATAATTAGAGAACAATATATAAAAAGTAATTTATTTATAGACAATAGAGAGATCGATTTTTTTGTCCTTTTTTTATTTATACAGATCAATATTTAACTGAAGCTGTCATATAAATGTTGTGGAGTAAAAAGTCCAACAAGTATAGAATATCTTAACTTGGTTTCACTCGAGCAAAGTCCGAATATAAAACCTTGTGCACTTCACACTTTATCTAACAGCTTCCTCTTGAACTCTATTTGTTTAAACAAATACAAAATACTGCTACTTAGCTCTTTATCTGTTATTTGTTTTTTACTTATTGTGTTTTTTATAATTAATAATAATAACACATTTTATTCAACTTTCACCACACCCAAGGACACCGTACAATATAGTAAATACTCTAAGAGGTAACCGAACATGATAGAAACACAAACAGGTGATCATGAAGGAGACAAGTCAAATAACAAGAACAGGTTTTTCAGGAGGGTCTTGAATGTGGTTTCAGATTTTCCTCTTTGCATCACGTTGTGTCTATTTGAAATCACGTTGTGTCTATTTGAAATCACGTTGTGTCTATTTGAAGTCACGTTGTGTGTCTTTGAAGTCATGTTGTGTGTCTTTGAAGTCACGTTGTGTCTCTTTGAAGTCACGTTGTGTCTCTTTGAAGTCACGTTGTGTGTCTTTGAAGTCACGTTGTGTGTCTTTGAAGTCACGTTGTGTCTATTCGAAGTCACGTTGTGTCTATTCGAAGTCACGTTGTGTCTCTTTGAAGTCATGTTGTGTGTCTTTGAAGTCACGTTGTGTGTCTTTGAAGTCACGTTGTGTGTCTTTGAAGTCACGTTGTGTTTATTCGAAGTCACGTGTGTTTTTGAAGTCATGTTGTGTCTCTTTGAAGTCACGTTGTGTCTCTTTGAAGTCACGTTGTGTCTCTTTGAAGTCACGTTGTGTCTCTTTGAAGTCACGTTGTGTCTCTTTGAAGTCACGTTGTGTGTCTTTGAAGTCACGTTGTGTGTCTTTGAAGTCACGTTGTGTTTATTCGAAGTCACGTGTGTTTTTGAAGTCATGTTGTGTCTCTTTGAAGTCACGTTGTGTCTCTTTGAAGTCACGTTGTGTGTCTTTGAAGTCACGTTGTGTGTCTTTGAAGTCACGTTGTGTGTCTTTGAAGTCACGTTGTGTCTCTTTGAAGTCACGTTGTGCTCGGTGTGTCTCTTTGAAGTCAAGTTGTGTCCCTTTGAAGTCGCGTTGTGTCTTTGAAGTCACGTTTTGTCTCTTTGAAGTCACGTTGTGTGTCTTTGAAGTCATGTTGTGTGTCTTTGAAGTCACGTTGTGTGTCTTTGAAGTCACGTTGTGTCTCTTTGAAGTCACGTTGTGTGTCTTTGAAGTCACGTTGTGTCTCTTTGAAGTCACGTTGTGTGTCTTTGAAGTCACGTTGTGTGTCTTTGAAGTCACGTTGTGTCTCTTTGAAGTCACGTTGTGTGTCTTTGAAGTCACGTTGTGTCTATTTGAAGTCACGTTGTGTGTGTTTGAAGTCATGTGTGTCTTTGAAATCATGTTGTGTGTCTTTGAAGTCACGTTGTGCTCGGTGTGTCTCTTTGAAGTCAAGTTGTGTCCCTTTGAAGTCACGTTTTGTCTCTTTGAAGTCACGTTGTGTCCCTTTGAAATCACGTTGTCCCTTTGAAGTCACGTTGTGTCTCTTTGAAGTCACGTTGTGTCTCTTTGAAATCACGTTATGTGTCTTTGAAGTCATGTTGTGCACGTTGTGTCTCTTTGAAGTCACGTTGTGTCTTTGAAGTCACGTTTTGTCTCTTTGTATCATGTTCTGTGTTTTTGTATCATGTTGTGTCTCTGATTCTGAATTCCTCAGATACTGTAGTGCAGTACTTGAGTAAAAGTACTCTGTTGTACCCTCCTGTGTGCAGGTGATGGACTCGGACAGCGGGGAGATGTTCCTGAGCGGCGAGGAGTCCGACAATTGGCACACAGCTTTCTCCCAGAAGCCCCTGCAGGACTGGGCAGTGGACCCCGACTGTGTGAGTCTGCAGCGCTGTGGCATTGTGGGTAGTACAGGTGGAGTCACCTGGGTAAAAACTGTCACTAACAGATATCAGAGACGGCAAAAGTACACACTGAGAATGTTAGCTAAAGCTGCCCCATTTACTATTTTTTGTGACAGTTGATCAAAGGGGAATGTCCACGACACTATAAACAAATAAACTAAATATCTCGATGCCTTGATTAAAACCATGTCCTCCCCTCAGGTTCTGAATGAGAGCGAGTCGGAGGACGTCCTTCAGGCCGTGGACCCTAACGAGGTGTTTCCCAGCGGGCCGCTCCCCTCCTCGTCTGAGAGCGACAGCAGCGTCTCAGAGGACCCCCCCCCCGTCAGCTCCACCCCCCCCACCCAACGTCTACCAGCTGGTGTACGAGGTCAACGGCCTGCAGACCAAACCTAGACCTGATAACATGATCTCCATAGAGCTGGGTGAGGGGGGGTCCACATGGAACTCTTTAAGAGATCAGAGTCCTGCTGGGAAACAGGAGATGTTGATAGTGATACCCCAAAGTGTTATGATAGAAATGTATAGTAGGGTCTCCAGAACATAGAAACTGCCGGATGCTAACTTTCATATGTCGGGCAATTTGCGAAAAATAGGATAAGTTGTGTTAATTAGCATCAATGGAGACAATAGTTAACCATGGCTTGGCTGATTTGGACAGCTCTGGATTGGGTTAGGGGGTTATTGAGGACGCTGAATCAATTTCTGACATTTTCAGGATCATGAAATGTCAGTTTTAAACAGAAAGTTTAAATCTGTTCTCTGGGCTGATTCTGATGGATCTTGGGTTCATTACTCTCATTTTAGGGGACTCAAAACTGCCACTTATGATCCTGAAAATGTGGAACGATTGTCTGTATTTATTTCTTTGTCTGTCTTCTTCCCAAACAAAGTCATGTTGATCGCGTTCTTAACCGTGATGTCACTTCCTGTCCCGTGCAGGTGAATGGAGCTCGCAGCTGCTGTTCTCAGACTCGTGCATCGTCAACGAGCTTCCTGTCCCTGACCAGGTGAGAGACTGCAGATACATGTTTTATATGATGTATTCTTCCTCCTCCTCCTCCTCCTGACTCTTCTCCTTCTTGCAGCTGTACCAGGAGCTGTGTCTGACGGAGGAGGAGCAGAAGCTTCTGACTCAGGAAGGAGTTGCTCTGCCAAGCAGCCTCCCTCTCACCAAGGTCTCTCTTTTATGTACTGTTGGTTTCTGTTGTGAAAATTTTGAGAGAAAGTCCGAATTTTTAGCGAAAGTCCGAATTTTGAGATTTTGAAAAAAAAAGTCCGTATTTTTTAGAAAAAGTCAGAATTTTGAGATTTTGAAAAAAAGTCTGTATTTTTTAGAAAAAGTCAGAATTTTGAGATTTTGAAAAAATGTCCGTATTTTTTAGAAAAAGTCAGAATTTTGAGATTTTGAAAAAAAGTCAGAATTTTGAGATTTTGAAAAAAAAAGTCCGTATTTTTTAGAAAAATACATAATTTTGTGATTTTGTAGAAAATGTAAAAAAAAAAATATTTTGAGAAAAATTCAGGATATTAACCTTTTTTTCATGAGATTATGAAAGCTTTCAGACATTTCTAAGACATGTTTCACATCTGTAATCTTAAAGTAACTGAAGCTTTCGGACAAATGTAGTAAAAAGTAAAAAAACGAACCTCTGAGATTCTGGGATGTACTTGACTTTAATATCTCTGATTCCTCTCCGCGGATAGTGGGAATATCAGGATGAGATGCAGATGAGTGTTGCTGCACAGTGGTTTGTGTTATTTGTCATTGCTCTCACATGTTGTGTTTTCTGAATGCGTCCTCAGGCTGAGGAGAGGGTCCTGAAGAGAGTTCGGAGAAAGATCCGGAACAAGCAGTCGGCTCAGGACAGCCGGCGGAGGAGGAAGGATTACATCGACGGGCTGGAGAGCAGGTAACCAGACACCTGCATCCATTTATCCATACATCTCCGTTCTGATACACCGGGGACAGGACCGGGGGGCCAACAGTGTCAGGGGCCCCACGAGGTGTCGCTCCACTAGGACCGGGATAACATGAAAACAAAGAGAGGCAATTGATGGAAACAATCACCTCCTAAAATCTGCACAGCACTCCACTTTCAAGACTCAAGGTTCAAGGCTTTTATGGTCATGTGTACATAGCTACAGTGTAGATATGGCAATGATACATCTGAGGTCACAGGCTCCTCCAACAGCAACACAATCACACAGTCGAGTCAATACAAATAAAATAGAATATAAATAATACGAAAAGTATGGAGAGGCCGGCGCCAATTATGCAAAATCCACTTCTTCATGTCTCTTCTACATCAACACGTGTCCCCTCTTCTTCATGTCTCTTCTACATCAACACGTGTCCCCTCTTCTTCATGTCTCTTCTACATCAACATGTGTCCCCTCTTCTTCATGTCTCTTCTACATCAACATGTGTCCCCTCTTCTTCATGTCTCTTCTACATCAACATGTGTCCCCTCTTCTTCATGTCTCTTCGTCATCAACATGTGTCCCCTCTTCTTCATGTCTCTTCTACATCAACATGTGTCCCCTCTTCTTCATGTCTCTTCTACATCAACATGTGTCCCCTCTTCTTCATGTCTCTTCTACATCAACACGTGTCCCCTCTTCTTCATGTCTCTTCTACATCAACACGTGTCCCCTCTTCTTCATGTCTCTTCTACATCAACATGTGTCCCCTCTTCTTCATGTCTCTTCTACATCAACATGTGTCCCCTCTTCTTCATGTCTCTTCGTCATCAACATGTGTCCCCTCTTCTTCATGTCTCTTCTACATCAACATGTGTCCCCTCTTCTTCATGTCTCTTCTACATCAACATGTGTCCCCTCTTCTTCATGTCTCTTCTACATCAACATGTGTCCCCTCTTCTCCATGTCTCTTCTACATCAACACGTGTCCCCTCTTCTTCATGTCTCTTCTACATCAACATGTGTCCCCTCTTCTTCATGTCTCTTCTACATCAACATGTGTCCCCTCTTCTTCATGTCTCTTCTACATCAACATGTGTCCCCTCTTCCTCATGTCTCTTCTACATCAACATGTGTCCCCTCTTCCTCATGTCTCTTCTACATCAACATGTGTCCCCTCTTCTTCATGTCTCTTCTACATCAACATGTGTCCCCTCTTCTTCATGTCTCTTCTTCATCAACATGTGTCCCCTCTGTGTAAAGAGACTCTGAAAGTTTCAGGAACAAAGATTCTCTCTCTTTTTGATCCATTTCTATAAAAACCTGTCTGAAAATGAGCTGATCAGATTTTGGCCACTTGATGATGTCATAACGATGTTTTGTCTTGTGTAACCATTAGCCAATCAGCAACCAACAAGGTAACCCCCCCCCCCCCCCCACCTTATCACCTGAATCTCCTCCTAGAGCACCATTGAGTTCTTTTTAATCAAATATCTCTGAGGGGCGTGGGGAGGGGCTCCTTATTTTCATCTAAAGTAACAGACAGAGAATCAGCACTTTGGAAACAGGGCTGAAACAGAGGGGATTATGGGTAATGCTGCAATGATCTGTTTGCATGAAAGGAGCTCTACAGATAACGTAATAAAGGTGTGTATTATCTGTGTGTTGTAAAGGGCAGCAGCGTGCTCGGTGCAGAACAAGGAGCTGCAGCGCACCGTGGGTCAGCTGGAGAAACACAACATGTACGACCGCTCTTCTTCTTATTTATCACCGTCTACTTTATTAAACGTAACTTTATTTATAAGAAAGCTGTTTTTCTGCTCAGGTCTCTGCTGGCTCACCTGCAGCAGCTCCAGTCTCTCATCAAGCACACCGTGAGCCGGGGAGCCCAGACCAGCACCTGCCTACTGGTGTGTGTGTGTGTGTGTGTGTGTGTGTGTGTGTGTGTGTGTGTGTGTGTGTGTGTGTGTGTGTGTGTGTGTGTGTGTGTGTGTGTGTGTGTGTGTGTGTGTGTGTGTGTGTGTGTGTGTGTGGTGTGTGTGTGTGTGTGTGTGTGTGTGTGTGTGGTGTGTGTGTGTGTGTGTGTGTGTGTGTGTGTGTGTGTGTGTGTGTGTGTGTGTGTGTGTGTGTGTGTGTGTGTGTGTGTGTGTGTGTGTGTGTGTGTGTGTGTGTGTGTGTGTGTGTGTGTGTGTGTGTGTGTGTGTGTGTGTGTGTGTGTGTGTGTGTGTGTGTGTGTGTGTGTGTGTGTGTGTGTGTGTGTGTGTGTGTGTGTGTGTGTGTGACAGATTGAGAGCCTGTGTGTTTGAGGTTAACTTTATGTAGTCTCAAGAGTGTGTGTGCATGTGTCTGCAAGAGATTGAGAAATCGAGAGTGTGTGTGTGTGTGCTGCCACTGATATCCATAGATCCTGGAAACTAATCCAGTTTGTCCGTGTTGTCTGTCGCCAACGACAATGAAAATTAAGTGGTGAACAGTTTTTTTTGTATGCTTTCAAACAGTAAACTAAGTGAAAATATGAACAGGGTTTGTTGCATGGCGTGCAGCTGAATCTGAGACATTATGGGTATTAATAGAAATAATTTTTCTTGCATAATAAGGCGTCATTTTCTCCATGACTTCCTTTTGTCGTACATGGCTTACCTGGCTCATACCGGACAGTAAAGACATTCAAAGTTTATTTGTTATCTTTAACCTGTTAAGCCCCGAGCCTGTTTTTCATGTTTCAGGCTCGAAAATGACATGCCCAAAACAAATGACTACAACTTAACTTCTAAAAGGGTTATATGAATAATTTCTTTTATCAAAGCAAGGTTACATCTGTGAGTAAATTCAGATGGAACATAGTCAAAAAAGGTAAATTCTTACCTCCGCCTAAAGAAAAAACATTACTTATAGTGAAAACCACCCTTGAATGATGGGTTAGTAGACTAAAAGCTTTAGGAATCCAAACTATAACATATAAGTACCCTGTATCAAGATTGAGGCAAAACAAGTTAAATTTGACCTTTTTAGAGAGATTTAGCAAAAAAAAGTTCCAGGCGGAATAGGCTTTCGGCACCATAGGTATTCATTCCATTCAAAGAAAAAAAAAAATGAAATAAAAAAAATTAAAAAAAAACTTTTTTTTTTTTTTTTAATTTGTGAAAAAAAAAAAGACCCCCCGAGGGGGGCTTTGGGGCTTAACAGGCTAATAGCCCAATATCACACATGTGAGATAAAGTGTGTGTGTGTGTGTGTGTGTCTACAGATCATCCTGGTGTCTCTGGGTCTGATCATCCTGCCGAGTTTCAGTCCGTTCAGCCGAAACTCTTCTTCAGACGACGACTACAGGCCGACTGGAGGTCAGTGAGCTTTGTATATGGGCTCAGAACAGTCTCATAATACACACATGCACACAGAAGGAATCACACTTGTGTTTTTCAATGCACACACAAATGTGTTCCGTTTTGTCGGGGAAATATTAATAACTTTGACCCAGTTTATCAGTTGAATCTGTCTGAGCACACACCTGTAACCTTGGCTGCTGTGCTCTCAGTGTTTCGTCTCTCTGCTCCTGCCTGTTGGCGTCAGCTGATAGAGGTGTTATCATTCTCTCTTGTTCTGCACATATTGATTATTCTCTTTGAACTAGCTAAATACACGGGTCTGGGGGAGAGTTCTTCAGAATTGGTTTGGCATCTCTACCGTGTGGTCAGATCGTGGCCCGAAGCTCCAAATAAACCGTCAGTGTTTGCCATCAAACTCTCCTCGTGTCTCTCTGAGTCCTGTTTCCAATTGCTTCAGAAGTTTCCCCCACACGTTTCATATTCATGGAAATAAAATCCAAATACAGAACAAAGTTTTACATATCTATTTTTGATCCACACATATTTGTTTTCTGTTTAAAACCTCTGCACCTGCAAACACAAACCGCTTTCTGTGCATGGATCGCTGTGCATTCGTGTGTGGGTTTTTTGAGACTCCCCTCGTGTACGCATTTTGCGCTGTCCGGAGCTGACAGGTCCATGGAGCCTGCCTGCAGGCGCTAATCTCAGGACTGATAAGGAAGTGTGTGTTATATGAGATGGCAGAGAGGTTTCAGCTCCGATTATTAAATCAAAGAGGCTTAATGTTTTCTATTATATTATTTCACTATAGCTATGTGGACGGTGTCAAGGTCAATACTGCACTATTCCACATACTCACTTTATTTTAGAACTATTTTTCTTTTTGTATTACTTTTACTATCTGTATTATTATTATGTTGCATTGTTGGAGAAGCCTGTGACATAAGATTTTCAACGACATAATTACTCTGTAGCTATGTTAGTTTGACAATAAAGAACCTTGAACCTTGAAGGTCCAATGTTGACCAAGATTACCAATAGCGGGTGTAACTAAAATACAAGTTTATTATTTTTATTATTGTTATTATATATATATATATAATAACAATAATAAAAATAATAATAATATAAAATATTGTATTAGCGTGCATTTCCTGTTCGGAAAGTGGCGATTTTATTTTGTAATGATATAATACTTGTAATAATGGTGCGTTCACACCGGACGCGATGCGAATAATCGCTCGAGTTTCACGCCGGCTGTCAGCTGTGTTTACTCGCCTCATTCATCTGAGTCAGCTTCTTGAGCCGTATCTGGCCGTGCAACACTCACAGTGTCACATACTGTATGCAGAAGTATTATTTTAAGCAACACATTAAGTTGACGAAACACTCGAGTCAAATGTAATTAAAGTCAGATCCACTCGTGTCTTGGACGGGGCAGTGATTTCATAAACCTGTTAATGTACGCATTCAAACACTTTCTCTGTTACCAGCTGTATTCACCTTGCAGGTGCAGCTATGTGGCTTTTATCCTGGATAAAGTGTTTAAGTCATGGATGTTTAAAGTTTAACTTCTTCATATTTGTCTAATATTAAAGTTCACTTTTCATTCAGGAAGTATGACGCTGCGCTGTTAGTACGCTTGTCCATGTTTGTGATTGGTCAAATGTTGCTAAAACAGTTCTGCCGGCCGTTTTGTGTACACAAGCATTCATTAATGGTTTGGAAAGTGGTGCTGTACCTTAATAATATAAAATATTGTATTTGCGTGCATTTCCTGTTCGGAAAGTGGCGCTGTACTGGGAGTGGAGGTTAGTGATGTGTCGGTCGCGAACGAGCCGATTCTTTTGAACGGCTCTTTGGTACGAACGAGGGGAACCGAGTCGTACTTGGTGAGAGCCGTTCTTTTTATCGTTCAATCGTTGGTCCGCACTCACTGCCTGCCAAATCCACTCGCCTTTTAAAAAGCTTGATTTTGTTCCCCAAACGTATTCTGTGAAGACCCGCCCCTACTCTGATTGGTAGGTTTCAGCTCGAGGAGTGAGATGGGGTGGGTCTTAACGGAATACGCGAGGGAGAGAAGTCATAACAAGTGGTACTGGACAGATAGACAACGTGTTTTTCAGATGGAAAATGAGCCAAACGCGAAAACGCAGCAGCATCTGGATTCACTTCACCCAAAACCCAGGCAGTGATAAAGCGCACCATTTGTAAAGGCAAAATATCCTTTAAAGCAGGGTCAACAAATAATCTCCATCGCCACTTAAAAACACACTATCTAATATTAAGAGTTGCGTGAATTTCATTCAAGGCAAGGCAACTTTATTTACTTAACACATACAGAGGGTAAATTCAAAGTACATTCACTGACATGAATGACATGGATATGGCGCCACCTTGTGTCATGTTTACAATGCCGATTATTGACATTAGGTCTGGCAATACAGTCAATCATTATCCTGGTGATTATTTCGCAGATAAACCTAGTAACCCCGACCCCTTTAAAAAAACGGCTCTTTTGAACGGCTCTTTGAAAGGAACGGAGCCATAAGATCCGGCTCCCTTCAAAGAGCCATAATTCCCATCACTAGTGGAGGTGTCCTGAGATTAGCGCCTGTCAGCTCCGGACAGCGCAAAATGCGTATATGAAACGCTACGTCATGAACGCAAGAAATCATACCCTCGTGGGGGCGCGCTCATGTGATTGGCTTAGAATGGAGGAGACTTCTGATTGGCTATAGATAGAAAATAGTACAAGTACGAATCGGGTCACCGTCAGGGGAGTCTCAAAAAACCCACACACGAATGCACAGCGATCCATGCACAGAAAGCGGGTTGTGTTTGCAGGTTCAGGGGTTTTAAACGGAAAACAAATATGTGAGGATCAAAAATACATATGTAAAACTTTTTTCTGTATTTGGATTTTATTTACATGAATATGAAACGGAAGACATTTGTGTGAGCATTGAAAAACACAAGTGTGGATCCTTCTGTGTGCATGTGTGTATTATGAGACTGTTCTGAGCCCATATTTGCATCACAGGTTCAACAAATCCTTGAAAATGTTTTATTTTGAGAGGAAACATCAAGGCCTTTTGTACATTTCTGTAAATACTAAAAACTTCTATCAAAGTTCTCTTGATATTTTAAACTAAATGTGAGAAAATAGCCTACCTTAATACAAAAACAAGAGGTTACAGTAAAACTGGCAGTAACAAAATCATTTAAATATCATAAATAAAACTATAAATATTAAGTAAAAATGTGCCAATAAAACTGATAAAATATTTATGTAGACATAATAATTTGAAGTAAAATGTGCAATTGCCTACGTGAAGCACTTGGAATGGCCTAGCGTCTGAATCATGCTACAGAAATAAAATAACTTTAAAAGGTTAAAATAAAATGGAATAAAGATATTTAAATAAACATAAGAAGTTAACGGGACTAACGGGAGGGCTACCTCTGTATAAACTCTGCCCTCCCGCTTCTACTCATTTTGTATGTTTTTCAGATGTATAAACTGTCTAATTGTTGAAATAGTAGAATAAATAAATGTTTTTAATTAAAGTAAACATTTTCTCATCAGACAAAATATAACAATAAGTATGTAAAAATGTGTATTGACAATATATACAGTGGTGTATTCGCATTAATGAAGATTTTGATGCTGTGATTGTTTTTGTGGCAGCAGATTACACACCTCCTCCACATGCGGCGTTGTGAAGTGAAATAATCTTCTTCTCTCTAGTGATTTCCAGGAACATCCTGACGGAGCACCCAGCGGAGTCCGACTCCCCGTCAGTGACCTCTGACCCCGGGGAGTCAGCAGGACCGGAGGGCCCCGCCGTCCTACAACAGCCAATAGAAAGCCTCGGAAACCCAGGCTCCGATGTGGCGGCTGCAGAGGGGAACCGCTCGGCGCCCGCCACCCCAGACCCTGCAAAACCTGCTCACGCTGACGAGATGTAACACGAGGCTAGAGCACCAGGACCAGGACTGGACTGTTCAGGAGACGAATCCACCAATCGGGGGGTCGGGGGGGGGGGGGGCGGTGGTTCGATTCCCAAAACACTGCAGTCACCGAGCCCCGAGGAGGAGCGCCTTAAGAGGGCGATTAATAACATTTTCTTAGTGGACAAACGGCGGTACTACAACTCGCGTGACGTCATTTTGGCCCAAAGAGACATTTTCCCATTGACTCACATTAGGAGAGAGACGTCTGCAAATCAGTGGCGATATCTTCTTTTACTAAATCAACTTCACAACACGAACACTTTTAGATCCCTTATTTAAATCAGAGTCTAGCTGTCAGCTTAGTGAACCAGGAAATGTTGAGGACCCCAAAGTTTTATGATATAAATGTATAGTAGGGTCTCCAGCACATAGAAACTGCCGGATGCTAACCTGCATAATGTTGGGGCATGTGAACAATTAGCATAAGTTGTGTTAATTACCATTAATTTGGAGAGTTTAGGAGTGGTGTTGGGAGTTATTGAATATGTTGAAGCAATTTCTGACATTTTCAGGATCAGAAATGTCAGTTTTAACCAGAAAGTGATCATATCTGTTCTCTCTGTGGACTGATTCTGACTACCATGAGTAGAGTTGGACCATTGGATACAGAGAGCACAAGATGAACATTATTATCTCTACTGTGGACACTTTCTTATCAAATAAATGAGCAATCTGAGTTCCCTTAATCTTCAAAATTGACCCAAAACTCAAAATCAGTCCAGAGAGAGAATCACATGCTTTGCAATATTTGTCTTTTAACCCAATCAGAGCAGACGTTGATTTTTGAACACAGGTATGTTGAAGCTGAAAGTAAATATTGTGTAATTTTATGGATGTATTTTTAGTTTTATCAGAAGAGGTTGTTTGTTTTAAAGCTCTTAAAGTAATTTGGATATTTTAAAATCACTTTTTCTTTGTAAGAGGGATCTATTGAGTCTTACTCTGGCTGTTTTTAATTTAATTTTAACCAAAAGTCCTCGTGGATTAATGTTTGAATGTTGTTGCGTCACTAAGTGTTAAATTAATATATTTGAGTCCATTGGAATTACAGAAACATGACAGACCTGAGAAACGTTCAGATAAAACCATGCAAAGCTGGGTTTAGTATTATTAGTATTATTATTAGTATGTTAACCCTGCAGTGGAGCGACTCCTCTCTAACAGCTTTGTGTTTCTCATGAATCGGCTCACAGGGTTAATGATTCATTCATTCTTTATTAAAAGGGAACAACGAGTCTGTCTGTGATTCATTATAATTCTGTCTCTTTAAGTGCCTCGTTTACAGAGAGAGAAGTACTCTGATCATGTACTTGAGTAAAAGTAGAAGTACTCTGATCATGTACTTGAGTAAAAGTAGAAGTACTCAGATCTTGTACTTGAGTAAAATTAGAAGTACTCAGATCTTGTACGGCGGCCCGTTCTCCATTCGCCTTCTCATGCTCACAAACTTCAACCTGACGGACTTCCGTAACGGCAGCGCGGCCATCACTGCGCTCCGGACCTTCGACCGCGAGCGACAAAAGGAGTACCGCCTCCCCATTCTGATGATTGACAGCGGCTCTCCTCCAATGAGCTCCACCAGCACGCTCACGGTGGTGATTGGTGACAGGAATGACCACCCTCACTCCTCGGGTCACACCAACTTTGTCGTCTACAGTTATGAAGGTATGTTTGAGTTCATATTGGACATTCAGCGTATAGCAAAAGATTTTGGTATTTTGTTCTTGATTAGAGGTCAGGGTGGGTTCATTGCATTGTTAAAGAAATGATGTCCAATATTGGGTCATAATAATTCTCATAGGAGAACTGGTCAACACTAGAGTTTTTTAACCTTATTTGGCCAATTAACCATTTTTTAAGTTCCCAAATGTCCATGACCAAAGCTATCAGAGGGTCGACACTGTTAGAATTGATAATTACATTGATAATACACCCAACACAGATCATTGTTGCTTTCTCTCTTTGTGCTTGACGTCCATGTGATTTTTAAGTCTGAGAATATGCAGAATATATCTATACCTGATTGAATAGACCTGTTTTATTGCAGAATAGCCAGGCCCATGAAGCTCAAGTCTCTTTGCCAGCTGAAAGCTTTTAATGTGAAGAACCAACAGCGGGGAAAATTGTGTTTGTATGGGCAGTGATACAAGTAAAGTGGTTTCACCCGGATGGATCATCGTACATCCGGTCTTTGTTTCCTCTCTGCTACACGGATGGTGAACTCTTTTAGATTTGTGTTTTCCTTGTACACCTTAATGTATCCAGGAACAGGCTTTGCAGAGTGCTCTTGCTCCTTCATTTCACACCTGAGAGCCTCAAAATCACAAATGAATCATGTGAGAAGTTGGGTAATTTTCTAATAGACTTCCATTGAATTGGAAAGTCCTGCTTTAAAAATGTTCCTCAAGTAAAAGTAGAAGTACTCAGATGTTGTACTTGAGTAAAAGTAGAAGTACTCAGATGTTGTACTTGAGTAAAAGTAGAAGTACTCAGATGTTGTACTTGAGTAAAAGTAGAAGTACCAGAGTGTAGGAATACTGTTACAGTAAAAGTCCTGCATTCAAAATGTTCCTCAAGTGAAAGTAGAAAAGTATCAGCATCAAAATATAGTAACTAAAGGTATTAAATACATGTAGTGGAGTAGAAGTACCGAGTAGCATAACATGGAAATACTCAAGTAAAGTACAAGTACCTCAGAATTATACTGAAGTACAGTATTTGAGTAAATGTACTTAGTTACTTCACAGAGTATCCACAGAGCTCAGGATTGATGGGAGATACAAACTGGTTCAGACCTCTTCCCCACGGGAACAGAATGAAACCTCTGAGACTGAGTTAATCTCTTCCTCTGACCACGGGGAGCTTTCCGAATAGTTCAGATCCTTTTCTGTTGAATAATTGAGAAGAAACAGCTTCCTTCCCCTTCCTGTGGAAACATCAGCGCTACACCGGAGACACTGCTGATTAAATACAGGATTAAATACATCTGAAGAAAATATATTTAAGAAACAAAAGAAGGCACCATGACCCTTACTGTTCTCCTTTCTGGATATTTTCTTTACATTTATTGTCATTTATTTATTTGTGTCCCTTTATTTTCCCCTTTTTCCTCTATTGCTTTATATGTGTCTTTAAATGTGTCCCCTGGTCCCCCAGCTGTGTGCGTCACTCTTTAGTGTCCCCTGGTCTCCCAGCTGTGTGCGTCACTCTTTAGTGTCCCCTGGTCTCCAGCTGTGTGCGTCACTCTTTAGTGTCCCCTGGTCCCCCAGCTGTGTGCGTCACTCTTTAGTGTCCCCTGGTCTCCCAGCTGTGTGCGTCACTCTTTAGTGTCCCCTGGTCTCCCAGCTGTGTGCGTCACTCTTTAGTGTCCCCTGGTCCCCCAGCTGTGTGCGTCACTCTTTAGTGTCCCCTGGTCTCCCAACTGTCTGCGTCACTCTTTAGTGTCCCCTGGTCTCCCAGCTGTGTGCGTCACTCTTTAGTGTCCCCTGGTCTCCCAGCTGTGTGCGTCACTCTTTAGTGTCCCCTGGTCTCCCATCTGTGTGCGTCACTCTTTAGTTTCCCCTGGTCTCCCAGCTGTGTGTGTCACTCTTTAGTGTCCCCTGGTCTCCCAGCTGTGTGCGTCACTCTTTAGTGTCCCCTGGTCTCCCAGCTGTGTGCGTCACTTTTTAGTGTCCCCTGGTCTCCCAACTGTGTGCGTCACTTTTTAGTGTCCCCTGGTCTCCCAGCTGTCTGCGTCACTCTTTAGTGTCCCCTGGTCTCCCAGCTGTGTGCGTCACTCTTTAGTGTCCCCTGGTCTCCCAGCTGTGTGCGTCACTCTTTAGTGTCCCCTGGTCTCCCAGCTGTGTGCGTCACTCTTTAGTGTCCCCTGGTCTCCCAGCTGTGTGCGTCACTCTTTAGTGTCCCCTGCTCTCCCAGGGAAAACAAATTCTAAAGTATATTCCTGATGTAGAGCGATATATATTAAGTGTGCAGCAGCTGTGAGAAATCATTTCTCCAAAAAAACAAGACCTCTTCCCCCAGAGCCCAGCAGGGGTCAGGAGAGATGTTCATGTTGAATCACTGCGCATCTCCCCCTGACTAAGTGATGTATTTGATACTACTTCACTTTAAATTCAATGCATAACAGAATAACTGATAAACTGTGAGGTAAACACTCAGAGAACTCAATAACCTCAGGATGTTTGTGTGAAATTATGATAACACTCTTCTGTCTGTACGGTACACATTAAGATAAGAGTAACAGTGGTGTAAAGTAACTAAGTACATTTACTCAAGTACTGTATTTAAGAACAATTTTTAGGTACTTGTACCCTCCCATCAAAGTAGAGACACTACATACTGATATACACCTGAACATCAGCAGGAGAGGACTCTTTAAAGTAGAGACACTACATACTGATACATCTGAACATCAGCAGGAGAGGACTCTTTAAAGTAGAGACACTACATACTGATATACACCTGAACATCAGCAGGAGAGGACTCTTTAAAGTAGAGACACTACATACTGATATACACCTGAACATCAGCAGGAGAGGACTCTTTAAAGTAGAGACACTACATACTGATATACACCTGAACATCAGCAGGAGAGGACTCTTTAAAGTAGAGACACTACATACTGATATACACCTGAACATCAGCAGGAGAGGACTCTTTAAAGTAGAGACACTGCATACTGATATACACCTGAACATCAGCAGGAGAGGACTCTTTAAAGTAGAGACACTACACACTGATATACACCTGAACATCAGCAGGAGAGGACTCTTTAAAGTAGAGACACTACATACTGATATACACCTGAACATCAGCAGGAGAGGACTCTTTAAAGTAGAGAAACTACATACTGATATACACCTGAACATCAGCAGGAGAGGACTCTTTAAAGTAGAGACACTACATACTGATATACACCTGAACATCAGCAGGAGAGGACTCTTTAAAGTAGAGACACTACATACTGATATACACCTGAACATCAGCAGGAGAGGACTCTTTAAAGTAGAGACAGGGCCCCTTTAATGTTGTTGTTTGATTGATCTTTGGGATTTAGAGCAGCACTGATTAAAGATTGGACGTTTGTAAAATATAATGACAGCTGTCATAATGAGGGCAAAGGGACGGATACACAGAGGCTGTTGTACTTGATGTACTCTGTACTCTCAATGTTACTGAAGTCATATAAATGATCTACTTTATTGTGAAGCACCTTTCAGACATTGCAGCTAAAAGTGATTTACAAAAAGGGAAAATAAAGACAAGGACAATTTGCCACAATTAATGTAATAAATGGATGATAATATTAAAAGTAATATACAAATCTAGATTTGATAAAAACATTACGAGAAATAGAATACATAGAATTATTCATAAAATAGAACAGATTTGTATGAAGTGTGGGTCGATTTTGACGATTTAGGGACTCTGGATCATTTGGATCGGACAGATTGCTTATTTAATTGAAAATAAAGTGTCCACCGTAGAGATAATAATGTTCATCTTGTGCTCTCTATATCCAACTCTACTCATGGTAGTCAATGAGTAGCCCACAGAGACTATATGGCCACTTTCTGGTTAAAACTGTCATTTTTTTTTTATATAGAAAATGTCAGAAATGGATTCAGCATCCTCAATAACACTCCAAAACGGTCCAAATCAACCAAGCCATTTTTATCTATTGTATGCATCAGGCTGTAATGCCATTGATAATAATTAACGCAACTTATGCTAATTGTTCAAATGTCCCAACATATGCAGGTTAGCATCCAGTAGTTTGGGGTCCTGAACTCCGGGCTCTCAGTGCTGGTAAACTGCATCTCCGTCAATTGTTTCCAACTTTCCTGGCTCTTCCCTTCCCCTTTCCTCCCTCACTTTCCTTCCTTCCTCCCCCCTCCCCTGTCTGCCAGCTCTCCGCCCATGCACACAGTCTTTCAGTCAGACACACACACACACACACACACACACACACACACACACACACACACACACACACACACACACACACACACACACACACACACACACACACACACACACACACTCTCACACATACACATACACACACACGTACACAACACACTCTCACTCACAATCCAGATCACCTGCGGATGGATTTTAAAAACGCGAATCAAGCGGAGGCAGACGGACATGGATCAGCTGTTTGAGGGACTTTTTTAACCTTTTAATCTGAATGGCATTGACCAGTCGCGGTGGAACATGTGGATTATTACCGTTTAAACCGCGAACGTGAAGAGGACACGGAGATTTTCGCAGGTGAACCCGTTTAATTGTCCGATAATCAAAGTAACTGAAGTGTGCAATTTTGAAGGACTTGTACTTTACATTTTCTCGTTCTACTCCACTACAGTTCAGAGGTAAATGGTGTACTTTTACTCCACTACATGTATTTAATACCTTTAGTTACTTCACAGATCTGGATGAATGATGTGAAATATAATCAAGTGTTAAATCAGACTTTAGTTCCACCTTGAGTAAATTCACAAGCCGCCCTGCAGTATACAAAGTCATTCAAACTAGCTGCACCTTTACCAGCTTTGATAACACTTTCATGATCAATCATTATAAAACATATCATATATATTATTCTGAAATGGACCAATCTGCACAATCACTACTTTTACTGTCTCTACTTTCACTATATTTTGATGAGAATACTTTTCTACTTTCACTTGAGGAACATTTTGAATGCAGGACTTTTACTGTAACAGAGTATTCCTACACTCTGGTACTTCTACTTTTACTCAAGTACAAGATCTGAGTACTTCTACTTTTACTCAAGTACAAGTTCTCAGTACTTCTACTTTTACTCAAGTACAAGATCTGAGTACTTCTCTCTCCTTAAAGCTATAATGGGCACTTTGGATTATTTTGTTCTCTCATAGGGACTATAACTCTTCTCCTGAAGTTTATCCTCTTTAAGGACAGCCGTTAAAACAAAGAAACAGATTGAACGGTTTCTGCCAGGGAAGACATGATTTCACAGGAAACACAACACACACAAGGATAGTATAGCGACAGCAGCAGCCGTCCTCATATTTCAGCGTTTCCCGCTCAGCTGTCAGCGGGTTTGCGTCTGAAATGAATGTGTAGATATGGCAATGAAAATATAAAGTCTTGTATTTGTGGAATATAAAAGCCCTCACAAAGAGAAGCTCTATGCAGAAACAGAGGAGCGTTATTTAAAAAAAAAAGTGAATTAATGAAATCTGTCTGTATGAATTAAGAGAAGAACGATCACTGTGACTAAAGAATCATCCGGACAGAGGTCAGACAGCTAATGCTATGCTAACTGAGTGCTAACAAAAGGTCTTCTTATGCATAATTAATCTCCCAGTATATGTTCGTATACTGCCATATCTCCTGTTTTAACCCGTATTCCCAGTGTGTGTGTTCCTGTACTTCAACACATTCAGCGTCTCATGCTGATGTTTCCACGTCTCCCTGTTAGTTTAAAATGTAATCCCATGGTCCTTCTTGTTGTGTTGTCTCGTGGTCAGACTCACTCACAGCCATGCTTTCAGGTTTAAAGTGACAAATATACGGCTCCTCTACAGGTTAAGTTAATAGTTTGCGGTTGCTCGTATCCTCCAAAGATGGCTGACTTGCAGTTGATGACGTCACATCCTAATTAGGCTATATCAATATTGTGATATCGTGTTAGGTATGATGGCCTTCGTGTTGTTTTGTCCTGGTTTTAAAGTCTTCATTACAGGAAAGTGGTGTACTTGATTACTTTTCTCTACCCTCTCTCAGTGATGTCTTCGGGGAGTTTTTCTCCCACGACTCGGCGCGGCCCTGAACTCACAAAGGCCACTCAGGGCCGACAGAAATGATTACAGTCACTCGACCGTGACCAACCAAAGCAGGTCTGACTATTAGATTTCATTACAGGAGAAAGGACACATCAATGTTGAAGCAAGAAATCTCTCAGACCTAACAGTGACGTCTTAGAGCTGCAACGATAAATCCACAACCAGAAACCAATGAAATTCTTAATTTTTAAAGCAAAACCAGCAAGAAATGTAAGTAATCTGTAGACTCATGGATGATGTAATGCGTTGTTATTCGGAGCACTATCCAGCAGTCAAACCCCAAATATATTCAGCTTATTAACATACAAGGCTAAGAAAAGCTGCAAATCATTTGAGAAGCTTAACCCAACAAGTGGAAAAAATGATAAATCAACGTTTTGTTTTGCAGCTTGAATCTCAAATACAGTTATGAGCAGAAGTGTAAAACAATAAAAATCATTTTTGCTCTCAGTTGATTCCTCACTCCATCATGCTATTTCTTTATTACTTGTATTTATAGCAAATACATCTGTTGACTGTCCACATATTTATATATTATTACAATAAACAGTATTTCATTATTCCACTGTGCCGCATGTCATTCTGTGTGACTGGAGGAGCCACACACAGTCTAGTATTCAACATACTTATCTCATCTTATTCTCCTTCTTCCGCCACAAATGTTGTCATGCTACTCGTCCGGCAGCATTGACACGAAACACACAAAAAACAAATCAAAACATGCGGAGTGACCGGGATCGGGTTGCTAGGTCTTTTATAAGAGATTCGCCTAGCCGTTTTCACATTTGCCCCATAGGAATGAATGGGAAATCCATTTGAACAGAGCTCAAAAACACCCCACTGTGACCCCACACAGATTCTGCATACTTTAACGTAGAACAGAAATGACAAGTTTAAACGTTTCTCGAGACTATGGACTTTATTAGACTAATTGGATATTTTTTGATAGCTAGTACGGTTCTCGCGTAGTCACAGCTTACATTACATTTTATAATGGGTGTGTATGGGAGAGTTAAGACTTGGTGACATCACGGCTAGAGGGGAGAGGAGCTGGAAAAGCTGAAGAGTTTTTTTCCAACTATTGCTCGGCTGGCCACAATTTTCACTCTTCATACATAATTTGGTGATCATAATGTAGGGAAATGTGTCACGGCCGCACCGATATGCTCATTTAATCAAACGGACTTCCACATATAGCAAACACAGAGTCATCAGGTGTTCATCTGGTATCCTAAATACTTTGGTAGGATATTTAGCTGATTGGAGTTACAGTTTTTTACTTAGAAGCAATAATGCAGCACAATATTGTCAATACATTCTCTGACAGGCTGTCTCTCGTTCACTGGCAGGGCGTTGCCGTGGAAATGCTTTGATCTTTGAACACACCTGTCGGACGTTAACTAAATCCAGTGGTAATCTAAAGATGTTCAGAAACGATGCAGGACTGTGGTACAAGAATCCAAAGATGTAATAGATAAACAGTTCAAATAGTCAGCTAAAAGTGAGCTAAAATGAATGGATATTCTTTGTTGTACCTTAACAATACAACTAATGCTATTAATACTTACTCAGCGGGGCTAATGTTAGCATCGGGACGCCAAGTTTCAGTCACACAGTCAACATTTCGCATTTCCGCATTTTAAAAATAAAGCCTTGGAACTCAAATAAAATGTCATCCCAACTCGAATAACTGGGCTTCATTTATGTTGCATGGGTTGTTAATGTCTCCCCTGTGTGTCTCCACAGTTAACCGGGATAAATCATTCAGCTGTGGTGGAAGTGGACTCCCTGCTGGTTCTGGAGGATGGCGGGCTGGAATCAGGGCGCCGCTCTCCCACTGGTTCTGATGGTTCTTCTGGTTCTGCTTGACCTTCAGCGGGTCGCCGGACGATCGCCCCACGAAACACAGAAGAACATCACGCTGGCCGTCATCATGCCCCAGAACAACACAAACTACCCGTGGGCGTGGCCTCGCGTCGGGCCCGCCCTGGAGCGAGCCGTCAGAACCGTGAACGCCGACGCCTCGCTGCTCCCGGACCACGTCCTCATCTACCACTTCAACAGCAGCGAGGACAAGGGCGGCGTCTGCTCCGAGTCGCTCGCCGCGCTCATGGCTGTTGACCTGAAGCTAACGTACGACCCGTGGGCTTTCATCGGGCCGGGCTGCTCCTACGCCTCGTCGCCCGTCGGCCTCTTCACCACCCACTGGGATGTTCCCATGGTTACAGCGGGCGCCTCGGCAGTCGCCTTTGACGGCGGCGTCTACCCGTCCATCACCAACACGGGCCCAACGCACAAGAAGCTCGGGAAGTTCGCCCTGCGGATCTGCGAGCACTTCGGGTGGCGGGAACACGTGATGCTCATTTTCAGCGACAAAAAGGACGACGACCGGCCGTGCTACTTTGCGGTCGAGGGTTTGCACGCGGAGCTGGAGAGCATCAACATCACGCTGGAGGAGCGAGTGTTCGCGGAGAACAAACCGGTCAACTACTCGCAGATCATCCTCAATATCCAGAACGATGGCCGAGGTGAGTCTCCGTCCACGTAAACTTAACACGAAGAGTAAGGAAATGTGAGTTTGGTAGATTAAGATAAGATAGGACTTTATTTATCCCGAAGGAAATAGTTGTGCCAGAGTTACGAAAATACAATAAACACAGCAGCACAATAATAAAACTGTACACTAACAGTGCCGTAAAAAGAGCAATTAAATATCTACAGGAAACAGACGGTCACATAATTAATGTAAAATACTTTACAGTGACGAGCAGTATTTAGTAGTGCAAAAGAACGTAGTGGCAGATACGTAATTGCAAGTTATTATAGAACATTATTAATAATAATATTGCACATGTTGTATAGCAGAGAGTTTGTTATGATGATATTTATTTTGCACATAGTGGTGGAAGTCCTTACTGAAGGGGGAGGAGTTATAGAGTTTGATGGCCACTGGGAGGAAAGACCTCCTGTGGCGCTCCGTGTTGGTCTTATTTCTTTGTTGTAACAATGCTTCTTGGCATTAAATCTTATACCGTTGGAAAGCCTGTTTTCTTACCTTTCAAATGGTGCATTTGTGGGATGAGCAGCAGAGCTGAGTATGCAGGTTGCGCCCATGAAAAATGTGACCAATCTCCTCAACAGCTTTTTTTCATGCTGTTGACTCTTGTTTGGTGTTTTCAAGTCGTATTGGCAACAAATGCATGTTCCTCATAAATGTATAGCACCATTTGAAAGGTTAATAAACAACGGTATAAGATGTAATACCAAGAAGCATTGTTACAACTAAGAAATAATCTACCAAACACAAATGTCCTTACTTGTTGTGTTAAGTTTCCTTCTGTTCTTGTGCTTTCTGTGATAAGTGTGTTCCAATAGGAAGGATGGCAACGTTCACAAGGAGAAACAAGATGGTGCCTTCATAATGCCCAAAGGTGATCTCCTTCAATGATAGAGTAGCGGTTTTGCCAACTTAATCCATGCCCTTAATCCTAGTTTCTTGGGTTTAAAATAACAAACAAAAGGTCGTTTCTGCAGCATTAAAACTCACCAGAGTATAAAGGAGGTGAACTGCACTCGTATGATTGTGATTGGATGTTACTGGCTCGCATCAATGAGCCAATGATCAGCTGACTTTAATGCTAATTCAATCTTCCTCTTTTTGGCACCGTCAGTGTGATATTAGATTAGATTTCAATCAGGAGAGACTCATGTTTTGTTTAAAGAACATTTAGAGAGCGCTCATCATGAGCTGATTTCATGTGGAGTGAATGAATTCAGTCTTCCTGCTGGAACTCGCGCTGAGCTTCATTCAGATTGACTTTATTGGCCCCAGATTGGGAAATTGTTTTGCAGAGAAGACTTCAATTGGTTCCATGATGTCTGTAGTTCTACAGTAAGTGTAATTATTGAGCCAAACGATCAGTGTTTATTGAACGATGCTCTCATTGATGTTTTTAGCTTTTACCTCCTGTAAATGGACGATGTGTCCCTTTCTTCTCCCGTCCCCAGTAATCCAATCCTGAAAAGATTCCTTCAGATACAAAGTGAACGCTGCGTCCTCTCACTGCCTTTTTTTTAATCCTGCGTTGTTCAAACAAACATCTAATCATGGGCTTATTATGCATCGTCAAAATGCAGTTTCAGGCTGCAGGAGTGAGCCTCAGCGTGGATGCAAATGTCAAATAATGACAGAGAATGCAGACCTGCAGAGCGACAGAGTGAGAACATAGCGGGGGGTGAGAGTGTAGCAGAGTCTAATCAACACTTCCTTTGAAACACCTGCACACAATCACAGCTTTAACGCTCATCAAGGACGCATGCATGAAGGGTTCAGTCTACTTCTGAAATCATTTAAAAAACACTACCTTTAACAACATCCATGTTATACTTCCCAACTTGGCAAACCAGAAGCTGATGTTTTATCTTCCTCTGTGTATTCACCCTATGCTAATTGCTATTACTCTGCATAGCGTCACCGGCTTTTCCTGCCGAAGAAACAGATTTTACGCTTTTTATTTAATGTTACTCCTCTTCAGGAGTGGGACATTATCAGACGTTCAGTGGGACGTTATCAGACGTTCAGAGGGACGTTATCGGACGTTCAGTGGGACGTTATCGGACGTTCAGAGAGACGTTATCGGACGTTCAGTGGGACGTTCAGAGGGATGTTATCAGACGTTCACAGGGACGTTATCAGACGTTCACAGGGACGTTATCAGACGTTCAGTGGGACGTTATCAGACGTTCACAGGGACGTTATCAGACGTTCACAGGGACGTTATCAGACGTTCAGAGGGACGTTATCAGACGTTCACAGGGACGTTATCAGACGTTCAGTGGGACGTTATCAGACGTTCACAGGGACGTTATCAGACGTTCAGAGGGACGTTATCAGACGTTCACAGGGACGTTATCAGACATTCAGAGGGACGTTATCAGACGTTCAGAGGGACGTTAGACGTTCAGTGGGACGTTATCGGACGTTCAGTGGGACGTTATCGGACGTTCAGTGGGACGTTATCAGACGTTCACAGGGACGTTATCAGACGTTCAGAGGGACGTTATCAGACGTTCACAGGGACGTTATCAGACATTCAGAGGGACGTTATCAGACGTTCAGAGGGACGTTAGACGTTCAGTGGGACGTTATCGGACGTTCAGTGGGACGTTATCGGACGTTCAGAGGGACGTTATCGGACGTTCAGTGGGACGTTATCGGACGTTCAGAGGGACGTTATCGGACGTTCAGTGGGACGTTATCGGACGTTCAGTGGGACGTTATCAGACGTTCAGTGGGACGTTATCAGACGTTCAGTGGGACGTTATCAGACGTTCAGTGGGACGTTATCAGACGTTCAGTGGGACGTTATCAGACGTTCACAGGGACGTTATCAGACGTTCACAGGGACGTTATCAGACGTTCAGAGGGACGTTATCAGACGTTCAGTGGGACGTTATCAGACGTTCACAGGGACGTTATCAGACGTTCAGAGGGACGTTATCAGACGTTCACAGGGACGTTATCAGACGTTCAGAGGGACGTTAGACGTTCAGTGGGACGTTATCAGACGTTCAGAGGGACGTTAGACGTTCAGTGGGACGTTATCAGACGTTCACAGGGACGTTAGACGTTCACAGGGACGTTATCAGACGTTCAGTGGGACGTTATCAGACGTTCACAGGGACGTTATCAGACGTTCAGAGGGACGTTATCAGACGTTCAGAGGGACGTTATCAGACGTTCACAGGGAAGTTATCAGACGTTCAGTGGGACGTTATCAGACGTTCAGTGGGACGTTATCAGACGTTCACAGGGACGTTATCAGACGTTCACTGGGACGTTATCAGACGTTCACTGGGACGTTATCAGACGTTCACTGGGACGTTATCAGACGTTCAGTGGGACGTTATCAGACGTTCAGTGGGACGTTATCAGACGTTCAGTGGGACGTTATCAGACGTTCAGAGGGACGTTATCAGACGTTCAGAGGGACGTTATCAGACGTTCAGAGGGACGTTATCAGACGTTCACAGGGACGTTATCAGACGTTCAGTGGGACGTTATCAGACGTTCAGTGGGACGTTATCAGACGTTCAGAGGGACGTTATCAGACGTTCAGTGGGACGTTATCAGACGTTCAGTGGGACGTTATCAGACGTTCAGTGGGACGTTATCAGACGTTCAGAGGGACGTTATCAGACGTTCAGAGGGACGTTATCAGACGTTCAGAGGGACGTTATCAGACGTTCACAGGGACGTTATCAGACGTTCAGTGGGACGTTATCAGACGTTCAGTGGGACGTTATCAGACGTTCAGAGGGACGTTATCAGACGTTCAGTGGGACGTTATCAGATGTTCAGAGGGACGTTATCAGAGGGAAGTTATCAGAGGGACGTTATCAGACGTTCAGTGGGACGTTATCAGACGTTCAGAGGGACGTTATCAGACGTTCAGTGGGACATTATCAGATGTTCAGAGGGACGTTATCAGAGGGAAGTTATCAGAGGGAAGTTATCAGAGGGACGTTATCAGACGTTCAGAGGGACGTTATCAGACGTTCAGTGGGACGTTATCAGACGTTCAGTGGGACGTTATCAGAGGGACGTTATCAGAGGGACGTTATCAGACGTTCAGTGGGACGTTATCAGAGGGACGTTATTAGAGGGACGTTATCAGACGTTCAGTGGGACGTTATCAGACGTTCAGTGGGACGTTATCAGACGTTCAGAGGGACGTTATCAGAGGGAAGTTATCAGAGGGACGTTATCAGACGTTCAGTGGGACGTTATCAGACGTTCAGAGGGACGTTATCAGAGGGACGTTATCAGAGGGACGTTATCAGAGGGACGTTATCAGACGTTCAGTGGGATGTTATCAGAGGGACATTATCAGACGTTCAGTGGGACATTATCTGCTCCTCTGTCAGACGTTCAGAGGGACATTATCAGACGTTCAGTGGGACATTATCTGCTCCTCTGTCAGACGTTCAGAGGGACATTATCAGACGTTCAGTGGGACATTATCTGCTCCTCTGTCAGACGTTCAGAGGGACATTATCAGACGGTCAGAGGGACATTATCTGCTCCTCCGTCAGACGTTCAGAGGGACATTATCTGCCTGAGGCTCCATCACTGCAGCACAGACAGAAATGTGATCCGATCGATGCCCCGGGGCCACAGTGGAAAGTCTGCAGCACTAAATGACGCGGCACATTTCCAGAATGGAGGAAGGTGCTTAGCAGCAACCTGCTGTAGTCTTTTGATTAAAGGTCTCCTATCATGCAAAATGCACTTTGTAATGTCTGTTATACATAACTATGTGTCCCCGGTGTGTCAGAAAATACAACCCTCCTGATCCTAACACATCTCCTCTGGCTGAGGAGAACTCTCTGCTCCAGCTTCTCTAGGTATTCAATTTAATATTTAATATTCCATGCCTCACATACTTATGTATATATAGTAACTTGCTTTATATTTTGTTACTGTACATTGGTAATTCAACATGTATATTTTCTACTTTCTTGTTGA